CCCCAAAACCCCAAAACCCCAAAACCCCAAAACCCCGTGTTGGTTAAAACGATTGAACGGCTGAACACATTTATTTTCCAATTCCTTTTTCAATCTGTTTGGCTTTAGCCTGAGTGAACCATTCAGTGTAGAAGTCGTCTCTTTCCTTGGTTAACATATCATCATGATCGTTCTGGCTGATATCGAGGACGTGCCATCCTTGGTATGACATAAGCTTAGAGTCAAGCTTGCTCCTAGCAGTGAGTCTTCCTTCAACAGGAAGGAGCTCAGTCTTGTCGAAAATGTTGACAGCGATCTTATAGTCCATGAAGCAAGCTCTTAATATGAACAAGTTGTGGAATGGCACATAATGCACAGGGAACAGGTAGAATTTATGAGCAATGTACTTTACAAACTCTTGGTAAGCTCCTCAATTATATACTTTATTCTCCTTCATTTCAGTATTGTAGAACCTCTCTGGGAAAAAGAACTTGTCTCAGTAATCTCTAATGTCAAGCTCAGGGAAATGATGAAGCATATAGAATCTACTCATCTTAAATGGAGTATATACGGTCACAGGAATTTTATCATTGTTGTTTAAAGTGTGTTGGACCATCTGGGTCCATATCTCCTCATTAGTATTATCAGTGTACATCAGGTAGTACAACAGATTCGCCACTGTGTAGTGATCCAAGGCTTCTTCATTCTTTGAAACTCTTTCTAAGAATTTCTTATGGAGATGTGGAGATCCTTGCTCTCTATATCCATAAGTCTCAATGATGTGGGAGAGTGATTTCATGTCGAATTTGTCGATCATGGTGATAATTTTTTCCTCAAGCTTATTAAAAGTCTCATCACTGCCATATCCAGAGCAGTATTTACTCTTAGTAAAAGATCTGATGATCTGAGAAATATGATAATCATCCAAGTTATCAAGCTCATCGATAGTTTTGTTTTCAATTCTACGGAGGACATGTAGTTCTTCAGTACTCATCATTAGAGATGTTGTCTGGGCAAGCCTTGTCAAATGATCAGCATCACAAAATTGAGTCAAGTCTAAGAAATCATATTCGTAGGCATTGAAGATCTTCTTATCTAACTTCATCTGTAAATCTTGGTGTGTATATGGCTTCTTAGTTCTATTTGAAGCATAGGAATATAAAAGATTAATGATCATATGAATTTGTCCTTGATCGTCATCTTCTGAAAACTCATTTAAAAATCTTTCTCTGTTTTCAACAATTGAGTCAGCAACTAAAAGTTAAGATGAGAATTTACATTTATCAAAAAGGAATTTATTGCTGGTACTTCTGAAGGATTGCATGGCAAGCATAAGATCGTAGGAGGATGCTTTATCAATATCTTCCTCTATCCTCTCTCTGATAGCCTTCTTTAGTTCGTGAGTTTGAGGAATTGGCTTCTTATATTGCACTAAATCGCTCTTTTCCTCCTCTTTAGCAGGCGCACTAGTCACTCCAGTGTGATCGACAACTGACTTTCCAACATTTGAAATGGCATAATGCACTTTACAGAGATCATGGAAAGAATAGAGTGTGATTTCATTGTCTTTTCTAAATAAAAGCTCAAATAATCCCTAGCGATATAAGATCTTAAAGTGTGAGAATAACTTACCCAATCATACTTTCTTGAATGAGCTTCCAAACAATAATATCAGAAATCTGTGCGTCCAAGGCAAGGAAAAGTGCTAAATCTGCCATTAAGTTATAGTTAAGTTTTGGGATAATCTCTCTAAGTTCATTAATAATTTCCTCTCTATCTGCATCTGGATTTTTAAGCTCTTCCTGAATTCTTAGTAAAACTTGATCTTTCAGTTCATAAGGAGGGAAAAGTTCTTTCACAAATGCTTTTGATCTCTCAATATTAACTCTCTTGTAATCATCGCAAGGAACTTTGTATAGCTGGCCTGCCTGAATACGTCTGTATGGTTCAGTACGAGGAAAACGGAAGAAAGCAGCCTGATCCTCATCAGCAACTTGATTATCTCCAGTGTGGGTATAATGCAAATCTTCTAGTTTAAGATTTCTGTTCCCAAGGTACTTTCTATGAAACTCTTGGTCAATTTCTTTATTATAACTGACTAGTTTCTCAGCTTTCTCATTGTCAAGTTTCTCATCACTGCTAAATTCTTGGAAAATTTTCTTGTAGTCAATGAGGCCCTCTGCCGTAATTAATGTGTCTTCGAAATATAGATCTGGATCGAACAGATTAGTCGATTCTCTCTTTCTATGCAATTGCTGGGTAGCATCATCTGGCACTAATTGAGACATAAGCCTCACAGATTGGGGAAATATCCTTCTATTAAAAGCACGATTTGCAATCCACATTTGTTATAAAATATTATTAACCTCAACTATAATAAATAGCATTGGGGTTTTGGGGTTTTGGGGTTTTGGGGTTTTGGGGTTTTGGGG